TATTTACTTAATAGTGAAATTATAAAGAACTTTAATTTCAAGTGATTCTTTGAAAATATGTGGCCTGCTCTCCGGAAGTGAAGGCGAAGATGGATCAAAAACATGAATAGTGATTTTAAGGAACAGAAAAGCTCTAATGCAGATAAAGGCAGAGACTGAAATCAAGAACTAAAAGGAAGCCTGAACACAAAGTTCCAAAGTAGCATATGAAGTTTTTCTTCCCTTTCCTTTCCCTTCAGCTTTCTTTTCCTGTGGTACTGGGATGGAATCCAGGGCCTTACATCCTAAGTAGTAAGCACTCTACCACTGAGCTATAGCCCCAATCCTAAATAAAGTTTCTCAAATAGTTGAAAAGGAAATGTAACTTTGATGGGGGGCATGAAGGAAACAACAACAACAACAAAAATAAAACCAAAACCAAAAACCAAAAAACCCAAAAAGCAAACTAAACCAAAACCAAAAACACCTGAATGCTAAAATTGTGATATCCAAGTATTAGTTCTTAAAACTGTAACTTAAAAGTGCAGCTTGATAAATCTTCATGTATATGCCTGTGCAGCCACTGTCTAGATCAAGACACAGAATGGCTCCAGTACAGCTGGGCATGGTGGTGCATGCCTGTAATCCCAGCACTTGGGAGGCTGAACAAAAGGATCACTGCAAGTCTAAGGCTGGCCTGGGACACATAGTGAATTGAAGGCCAGCCTGAATCGCGAAAGGAGACTCTCAAAAAAATTAAAAGGGGGAAAAAAAACCTCCTGAAACCAAAAACAGGTCAAGTGCCTCTTTTTAGCCAGTAACTCCCTATGCTTACTGCAAAATGGCAACTACTGACCACTTTGACTTCTTGTTGAGCATTATATAAATGAATCATACAGAATGTGTTCTTATGTCTGGCTTTTTTCATTCAACCTTATTTTTGTAAGCATGAGTAGTATGTTCCTTTTTATTGCCAAGTAATAATCCACTGTATAGATATATTACAGATTTGTTTATTCATTATCCTACTGAAGGTCATTTGGATTGTTTCCAATCTTCTTTTACGAATGAAGTAGCTGAATAAAGCTGCTCTGTGTGAGCATTCTTATGCAAGTATTTTGATGGACATAAACACTCATTTTCTCTTGGCTATAAGCCTAGAATAGGCTGCTGCATTACTGGTAGGTGTGTGTTTAATTTTAGTAGAGAGGCCAGGTTTCTAAAAGTGATCATTTCACCTTTCTACCAGCAATGTTTGAGAGCTCTCATATAAAGTTTTTAATTAATCAGTTAAGTAGTTGTGTGAGTGTGTGCACACACTCCCTTGGGGTTTGAACCCAGGGATCTGGCATGATGAGGAAATACTCTCCCATCGAGCAACACCTCCAAGACCCCATATAATTATATTAAGTTTTTAAATTTTAAAAAGATCTTCAGTTGAAACCCAAATTTTCGAGGTTTTTTTGGTTTTTTATTGTTTAGAACAGGCACAACGTAAGCAGAGTGGTCACATTTTAGAACATAGGCAAGATAATTTGGGGGTTTGAAGAAAGAAAATACAGCTTTTATTTTAGTTTCTTATTTTTTTAGCTAAAAAGTAAATGTCACTAATATTTAATATGTAAACTGACACTAGTGCCCTTATTCTTATAGTTCTGTTGGTTCACTTTGGCCTATTGTGATTTACTGCCTTTTACATGTGCCTGACTAAGCATAATTATGGAGTATTTAATACAACTCCCTCTCACCAAATAAATAAGAGACTTACAAAGATAATACTAATATGCAAACAACAAAAATGTCTAACTCAACACTATTTTAGAAAATCTCTTTAGAAAAATTATGACCATCTAACTAGTCCAATCTCACAAAAACCAGGCAAAAATACTTCAAAAGTTAAAACTTTTAAAATACAGAATTATTTTTCCTGTTAATGGTATTTTGCTGATAAAAATTTAAAATATTAAAAATTTCTTATGCCATCCCTTTTACATTTTGGGGGGGGGCTCATTTTATAATGTATATGATAGTAAACACGAAGTACAGGTACACTAAATTTTAAAATGACCTTACATATACAGCATTCCTGTATGTAAAATCTTTATACTCACAGGATACATAATGAAGTATACTTCATAGAAATAACCAATTGCTATTTAATGTTAAAATAACACATCTGCACAGTGTAGGAGGAGGAGGAAGACATGAATTCACAGGGGTCCTCCAGGATGAGGCATGAGGAAATCTTCCTGGATGCTGGTGCTGCTCTATGACTTCTAAATAATTATGGGTATGTTAAAGTGTCTAGGAGCAAATTATTATACTGATGTCTGTAACTTACTTTAAAATGTATTAAAATAACATAGATTACTGTAGGGAGACAGACAAGTAGACATGTGCCAATAAACAATAAATTTAATCATAAAATTTTGGTAATAAATCCACAGGTTCTCAACATAATCCTTTCAACTTTTCTATAAGTTCACAATTTTTTATAATAAAATATTCAGAAAAATAAAAACCCAAGAGTTGAAAACTGACAAATATTAGTAACTAAGAATAGTGTAGTGATACAAAGTTAGACAAAAATTTAAAAAGGAAAAATGTAGGAACACTCAAGCACTGCTTCCTGGTGCTTTCAAATACAGTAGACTCCCCTTATCTCTAGGATACCCAACTCCCAGAGGATGCCCAAAACCGCTGCTAGTACCAAATCCTGTTTATACTGTTTTTTCCTACACATGTATTCTATGATAAAATTTATAGATTAGGCACTGCTAAGATGTTAATAACAGTAATAAATAGTATAATTATAACAGTATACTTTAATAGGTTATTACAATGCAACAATGTAATAGGTTATTAGAATGCCATCTCTCAAAATGGAACTGTACTGTAGTTTTGGACTGGGGAAAGTAAAACCACAGATAAGGGGGACTACCATACTATGGGTGTAATGAGAATGATGCTTATTTTATAGGATAGTAAACTGAAACTCAGAAAGATTATAGAATATACCCAGCGTCACCAAGTGTGAAGGCCAGCCAAGAACTGAATCCAATTTGTCCAAATTCTGAATCCTCTTGACCCACATTCCTCATAAGGGGCTGGCAAAGATCAAACATCCTCTCTGCAGCAGGGAAGTCCCTTTTCTATTATGGCAAGGATCAGCCCTGTGTCTTGGAAGCACCTTCCTACAGCAGCAACTGAAATCCGTCTTCTCACATTTTTCTTCCTAAATCTGATACCTTGGGGCGATACAGAATCCAATCCTCTTGGCATGGCCTTCACTCCAAGAAGCAAATGTGAAATCTGAATAAGTAGGACTTTTTTCCAGCTAGGATTTTATAACAATCAACAAAGTTATAAATAGATATAAATGGGGTAGTGCCTCACAGAATAGAGATATAAGAATGTAAGTGTATGTAACCAAGAATAGGGATTCAAATACCTTTTTCTTTTAATCTTTACCTTTCCTTCGAAATTGTAACATGTCACTTACTATAAAATAATTTTTTAAAAAGCCTTAAGTTCTTTCCTAGAGTTTATGTTAAATGCATAATACAGATTTTTCTTTCTTGTATCTATTTTATCAAAAAGTCTTATGCTGCTTCCACATTTCCTATTCCACTTTTGCCTTAGTTCACAATTACAGCTTCCAGGAATTTTATGTACAATTAGATATACAACTAGGAGCACTTCTTTAGCATTTCTGTTTTACAAGTTACTACAGGTGGCCAACCTGTGCCAACCGCATGTTCATTAAATTTTAAGTCTTTTCTTTTTGACCTTCTCAAGATTCTTTTCAAAGGTAAGACTTAACAAAAATAAAGCCACTGTACTGAAGAAATAGCCAACTGGTAATGGTAACTTTTAATTCACTTTTGAGTCTGTATATACACAGTAAAGCATTTCTTATTAATATTTGTCGATTACTTAAAGGACTCCTAAAGTCACAAATCTTGCTCCTTTTAAAGGAATGTGGTACTACAGCACATTTTAAAACCAGTAATTTTATTTGGAAAACTTTGTCTTATTTAAGGATCTATAGTTCAGACATGGAGAACTTACATCTCTAGTCTGGGAACCTGAATGAAACTGTTTTTTCCCCCGTAGCTATCTGAGGTTGTTAGTGTTGCAAGCAGTTCTAGAGAGGATTACTTTATATTTTAGAAAGGGATAGGCAGGCAGTTTAAGTGGTCAGTCTATAACAGCCTGGACTAGACATCAGTTGCCCCAATTCCTAGCCCAATGTTCTTTCTTACTGTCATGCTAAACCAAAGATTAAAACAAGTGATTATGCCCATCCATTACCCCAATTTCACTACATTTCAGTGTGGCCACCCATGATGTCACTTCCTTTTGTGAATGGGTGTATTTTCCCCCCTCGGTCTTCCTATCTTCACAAAACTACAATACAACATCTTAGAGCTTCCGCCAGATTATGTCAATTCTTTCCTTGCCTATTACTATTCCTCAATAGACATATAGTCTCCAAAATGCCTCGGTCATCCGTTCCACTATATTTCTTCATTCAAGTACTCAACTGCCAAATATCCCAATGCCTAAAAGAAAAGGGATCGATTTTACAACACAAGGCACACACCGCAGCGCCGTGCCCCTTCCTCGCCGCCCAGGCCTAACCAGAACGCTTCACGCGGTGCGTTCCGAGCAGATGCTTTCTAGAGAAGCCGGCGAGAGCGACAGGCTGGCCGGCGGGCGGCGGCGCCGCGAGGGGTCGGGAGGCCGGCAAGGGCCGGGCGCCGACCTGAAACCAATATGGAGGTGAGGAGGCGCCGGGCCAGCCGGCCCGCGAGGCGGGGACGGCGGCGGCTCCAGGCCGCCCGGGGTCGGGGCCAAGGACTCGGGGCGCGGAGCCCCCGGGACGGAGCTGCGTCGGAGCCACCCCGGCCTCGGAGGGCGAGGCCGCCATCCCCGACGTCCCGGCCGCAGCAGTGGGCAGGGGCGCGCGCCATCATGGAGGGAAGATGGTGGGCGGCGGCGCGGGGCCGCGTACTCACCCGTGCCGGCCAGTGCGGGTAGCCCTTCATCTTGGCGAAGACCAGGTCGCCTGCCTTGTACTCGCGGGGCCGCGGACGCGCCATCCCGGCCGCTCCCCGGCCCGGTCGTCCTCGGTCGCCGCGACGAAGCCGAGGCCGCCCCCCCGCGGGCCTCGGCGGCCGCTCCGACGAGCGAAGTGGGCGGGGGGCGCCGCGGCCGCGAGTCGCCGCCGGCCGGGGGAGGGGAGTCGCTGCGCCGCGCGGAGCCGCCGCCGCGCCGCTCACAGGCGCCGCGTCCCTCGCCTCATGCTGCCGCTGCCGGCCTCCCTCCCGGGCGCCGGCCTCGAGCTCCCCCGAATTCCTCCTCGGGCAGCGACCGCAAACACGATCTTAGTATTGTTCTCGCGCGCGCTCCGCACCCCCGCCCGCCCGCTCGCGCTCCCGCCCGCCCGCGCCGGCCGGTTAATTCCTAGGTGCACGGCCGCCGTTCAGCGAGAAACCGTGCGCGCTGGCGGGCGCATCCCCCACCCCAAGCCCCGCGCCGACTCCGCGACGCCCGCCGCCCGCTCGCTTTTGTTCTCTCTGGAGCTGCCCCGCCAGCCCCGCCAATCCCCCCACTTGACTTCCCCCCTGCCCCGGACGCGACCCCGGCCTGGCCCCCACGCCGGCCACGTCCGCGGGCGCTCGTTGGGGAGTGGGGACAAAAACGCCCCAGGCCTGCTGACCGGCCGACTGGCTCCCGGCGCCAGCCGCCTCCCCGGTCCCTGCCCGGCCTGCCCGTGGTCAGTGTGACCCACCGCGGACACTTTGTCAGCGAGGCGGGGAGCTTCTTGCATCTGCCCCGGAGGGATCTCTGGGTGGAGGTCTCCAGGCAAGCACCGACGCTGACAGGTCAACTGTTTTCTGTCCTGGCATCTTTCTGGACAACGTTTTGAAACAGGCATCTGGCTCTGGTGGCTTTTACAAATACAGTTCATTAGATTCAGAGCAACGTGTGGGTACTGTTGTTACAGCTGAACCCCTTGACAGCTGCTGTCAAAGACATTTTGGGGTGTAAGCATCTTCCTAACTACTTCCTTTGTGGGGAGTAAATAATGATTCAAGGAGCCTTTCCTAAATCCCAACGCATGATCACTGCTGCTTCCTCCATCATCCCAAGGCCCACCTGGTGTCACTCCTAAGTGTAGTTGACTCTGTGGCCTTCCTGTTGTTACAAAGACTGTTATGGTCTGTAAACCACCCTCGACTCCTGTGCCTCTGCACAGGATAAGAGATAGCTCTCCCTTTGATAGGAGATAGCTTTCCCCATCATCCATCCCTCTCCCTTTGATAGGAGACAGCTTTCCCCATCATCCATCTCCCTCCCTTGTGTCTTGGAGTTATGTGTGTTAACCTGGCTTTTAAAGTCTTCATAGTTTGTGGATTGTTTGCTTTGTCAACAGTGCCTTGGCATTACTGTACTTTTCTAATGCATTTTTTTTGTGTTTGCAACTAGACTTACCTGGAAGTGTATTTACTCTTCACACCTGGGCCACAGGGTCACCTTTTTCTTCCTTCTCACCTTCATGCCCTAGTTGTGATAGGGTGTTCATGTCTTTCACTTCTAGACCCTGCGTGGGCAGCTGTCAAAACACACCAAGTGTATGAACCTGTAGAATGACTCCACTCTCCTCTTAGATCAAAGCCAAATCCTCCTACTTTCCAAGCCCCAAATGGTCAGATCTTTGTGGGGCCTAGGGTGGTTATAGCTGAAAGGAGAGAACTGGGAGGGGAAAGGCTGTCACTTTGGAAGCCACAGAACTAGGATGAGCAGGGGACTGATGTATTCATAGTCTGAGTTTAGAGGCATTATTCTGGTGGCCACTGTGGAGGTGTACTTGAGGGTGGATCCCAGTTGAGGGTTCTCACCAGGAGAGAGAAGAGAAGGGTTGAGGGGATTGGATGGCAGGTGGGTAGGAAGAAAGAAGAATAGAAAATGATTCCTGGTTTCTAGTCAAAGCAATAGGATGGTTAGTTTTGACAAAGAAATCCATGAAGAATGAGTGAGTCTGGAAGTGAGATTATAAATGGTTTTGGATATGTTGGGGTGTTCATGGGGGACCCTGAGAGATATTTAGTGGGCTGCTTAGAGAGCGTAGCCAAGGCAGGATGTAGAGATTTGAATGATACTGATAAACAGGTGGTAATTGAAGCTGTGACAGAGGATGCCTAGGAGACTGTAGAACATGAAAAGTGGCACTCCAATTTGGAGCCAGGAAACTCCAGCACTGAACTTATCAGGCAGAAATTAGAGAAGCCAAAGAGCTCAAGAATTTGTAGAAGGAAATGTCTGGGCAGATGCCACAGTGAGGACAAATAAGATGCCAGAGCAGTGGATCCATGGAAGATGGTGATTGGAAAATCACTGGTGACCTTTCTGGGAATGTTTGTGAACGGCAGTGGGAGGAGACCATAGGGCAGTGGCTTGAGAGGTGAGTGGGAGGAGATGTGGAGCCAGGAACTATAAACAACTTATTTCCAACAGTAGAGAAGAGTAGCAGGAGAGCATGAAGGGAAAATTGCTCTGTTGTAATTGTTTGGCTGGTTTTAAACATAGCAGAAATTTGAGTTTGTAATGAGGAGAAACTGCCAGCAAACCGCTTGAAGACAAAAGGTAGAAAGGGGATAATTGATGGAACTTGGATGTTTTGAGAAGGTGGAAATTTCTCCCAGGCTAGGCTTTTGTTTTTGTGTTTTCAATTGAGCCTGGGCTGACTGCTCAACACCTATTCATTGCTTGACTCTCCTGCCTTTACCAAGCTGGACTTAACAGCACTTGGTATCTTCACATGGGCTCCCTCTGGCTGATCATTAGGAATATCCTAATGTGCCTGGCTCAGAGCCCATCTGTCTCTCCTGCTAGGCTGAAACAGCCCACCTTGTCAACATTTTGCTAGTGGGAGGAAGCAGTGCTCTATGACTTGCCGTGTAGATAACTTTCAGAGTATTTTCTCTGCTTTATGCAAGGACTGATGCTCTGGCTATTCCAGAACAATGCTGTACTTAAATATTTAACAGATAAGTGGTAACCCTTTAGAAATATCACTAGGATCATTAAAAGAGCTTCCTGTGTTTTATTTTTGTCAGTGTGGTCCTAGGAACTCACCTGTTTGCTATATCAATTTTGAACACATTAATTTTACTTCTGTAAGTTGGAAGAAAATCCATTCAAATTTTTTTGGTGATAACAACTTCTTTCGACCACTTTTGATTTCACCATTCTCAAATCCCTGTGGGCTAATCCTTGTCCCTGCCTTTGGCTCTTTGATCTATTTTTTGCCATCCTCTTCTTACACACATCCACACATTTTGCTGATCAGGTACTGTTGTCACCACCTTTTATATTTGGGTATCTGAATAAAACTAATATGCCTTCAGATTCTGCCCCCAGATGCACCCATTTCATGCTGTTTAAACTCCCTAAAATGTATTCCTTTGCTTCATATTACGTCTGAGATAACATATGTACTGTATTGGCATTGTGTTATTAAGTGGTAAGGTGAAAAGAAGTGTGGAAAGGGAGCCAGGGTTGGTTTCCTGGATCTCATATGAGTCCATTTTTACTACTTTTGCTACTGGAGATTTTTCAAATGTCTTAAACCCAGTCCTAGACTAGTTGGTCTTACACTCCTTGAAAGAGGGAGCTATCAGAGATTGGCATCCTTTTGAAAGTAAAATAAAGTAACTTTCATAAGTACTTGTGAGAGAGAACTCCCCTATCGGTGTGAGCATTGGTGGCAGTTTTAGGGTTGGCAAAAGGCACTATAAAGTCTACATGGGCCTTAAGGGATAAAGAAGAGCTCATAAGTGGGGGTCAGGTAGCATTGCCCGTGCTGGGATAGGTGACAAAGTGGCTATATTTGCAACTATACCAAGTAGAATACTGGAGATCACCCTAGTACTAACCTCTTTTACTATCCTTGGAAGACACGATGTCCTTAGAAGACACTGCTTAGATCACCTGAGACCTTATTTGGGGAACAAAGGGATGAAGGAAGTAGCTCGAGTCCTGGGAATTCCTGTGAAACTTCAAGCCCAAAGATTGTTTCTATTGAGCTTATCCTCATTCTTACCCCTTAATGATTCTGTCCCAGGATGGGGAACAAACTGGATAATTTTAATGACTTATTAGCTATTTAGGGAGATGAGGTTCAAGGTAAGGAAGATAATAAAGATGAAAGAATTTGCAAATTCACCGGCCATTTTTGCTAGTACTGTGTAGATACTAATTAACGTGTCAATCTGAGTGTGCATGTTGCTGAAGGGAGATTAGACCAACATTCATTCCGTTATTCACTTATTGAACAAGTGCTGCTGTGTTCTAGTCATCATTCCAGGTCCGGGACTAATGGCTAACAAAGAGAATGGCGAAGAAACACAAAGCAGAACGTCTGGGAAAATGGTGGAGTGGTGGGTGAGCAGCAGAGAAAGAACCTTTCCAAGGTTTGGAATCCAGACACTGGGATATAGCAACATGAGGAAGAGAAGGAGAGAGCTGGGTCCCATGGACACAGGAAGGATCTGAACTGAGACTTGAAGCCCATAGAGAGCGATAATTCAGGAATTCAGCAAAAATTAGAAAACCAGGAGGTGACTACCCTGCTGGACAGGGAGAAACAGCAAGAGAGGAATGCAGTCTCCAGCACCCATGCGCCTGCAGAGGCCCTGCCGGCTGGGGAGAACCTGCAAGGAAGCCGCCTCCGCCTCCTGCTCCCTTCTCCCCTCACTGTAAGCAACCAGACCCAACACAGGCTGGATGATGATAACTGAAGTAGGGTAGTAACCTGACATTTATGTTGTTTGATTGACTTTGCAGGCCTGGGGCCGGTAGTCTGGGCAACTATTTAGAGGATAATAATTTGCAATGTAGTAATGATTGTGAATTTCCCACTGTCCTATACTGTTTTGTTTTGTTTTTTTTTTTTACTGGTTTGTTTTACTCCCTTTAAAATAACACACACACACACACACACACACACACACACACACACACACAAAGAAACTAGGTCAGATGAGGCTGTGTTGCAGGATTTTCGGAAGGCCAGGGTATGTCTTTGAAGGTAGAGAGGGTAGAGGTTAGGGTTAAGGTTACGGTCATTTGATGCTTTTATAAGAGAAGATAAAAGGGAGTTTACTTCTCTTTTCAACAGAAAGAAAATGACTACCCACCTAAAATTCTGAGCCAAGCAAACTATTTTTCAAATAAAGGACAATATGGACAATTTTTAGACAAATATAAATCTAGACAACAACAGAAAGAAGAAATTTGTAAACACAAACACTAAACAGTGAGGAGAGCTGGTCAGACAAAAAGAAAACGTTCTTTTAGAAGATGAGAGCAGGGAAACAT